CCAATGGGCACCTGACGATGCATAAGTGGGTTTTGGGCTGCAGTTTGGGCACTCGGTCTCTAAAAGGTTCGCCGCCACTGGACTAGTCTGAAGCTGCCATAGCTAAAGATGAAGCAGGCGTGTGACGCAGGGAGGACCAAAAAAAAACAAACCAGGAATCTTGTTCAAAAGATTCCCCCTCGGAGAGCTAAGGAAACAAATGGGAAATATGTCCCCAGACAAAGGAAGTTGGGCCTGTCTGAAATCCCACCAACAGCTACCAGGTGTGTAAAATAAGGCAAGCGTAGCTGCCAGTGTTACGAATCAACAAAGGAGGGCTTGTCGGGAGATAAAAGGGGTCTTGAAGCCCACCCACTCCTTTTGCATTCAGAGCTTCCATCCCCCTAGTTAGTGGCTGGCAGCCTAGTTAAGAAGCACGTAAGTGTGGGCGGATGTGTGGGCGGGCGTCCGTGCGAAAGAACAAATGCACAGTGTAACAAATGACGTTTTTGCTCTTACTTGAAATTCCCCGGGGGGGAAAATGAATGCATTCTTGTGTATTCCAAAGAAGAGAAATTGGGCCTCGGTGTTTGGCTGAAAGTGATTTGAGTCTCTCTTTCTCTCTGTAATTATTTCTCAGCCATTGATCAAGGCTGTGTGTTGTCTGCCTTGCCTAGCCTTGCCTATCTGGAGAACCCAGGTAGGAAGCAAGGGAGGGGGGGCTTACAAGATCTGCATGCCTCGACAGGCTGTGTGAACGAGTGACAGTAAACTGAACCCGAGAGTGTGCGTAACACTTTCCTTTTCCAGATCTTGCAAGCAAAGGCAGCTGGTAGATACCAATCTTTCCGGCCAGCCTTCACCAATTGTGTAATAACCCTAATAATCTCCCAGATTCCTCGGACCATTATCTAGGGATTTCTGGGGAAAAAGTGTGTGTTCTCCTCGGGCGAGAAAAGCTTGCTGCATTGCCTGGTATTGGCAGAACTTTTAATTTCTCCCAAAGAGCCTGTGGAGAGATCCTCAGGTTTCAAACTGAGCTTCTGTGTCTTGTTCAGATATTAATCTGGCTGCGGAGCCGAAGTTGAACCGGGGTAAAGCTGGGGTGAAGAGATCGGCCACAGAGATGTACGGGTCAGTAGCCGCACCACCTTCTCCGTCCCCTCTAGTCAGGTTGGGACCCTTACGTTTTCATTATTTTTAACTTCACTTTTTCTTTTCTCTCTTTTATTTATTTATTTATTTCTCTGGTCTGGAATGGGCCCTGGAATGAGCAGTTGTGGGCGCAAGGTGCTGGGTGCAAGATGCAATATCTGACTTATGTTTGTAGATGGTGTGCGTGTGCGTGCGTGCGTGCAATCCATGTGACTGTAAGAAACTGCAGTGTGACTTTTGATGTATTTGGGCTGATAAAACTGTGGGATCACAGTGCCAAGCAGCAGATGGCTTTTTGAAGCAAGGGGTGGCCTTGGAAGGGGGGGGGAAATTGGGGTGGGACCCTGCTTGCTTTCACTTTTGCATTGTGACTAAAAAAAACTGTTTGACTTTTGCTATGTTGGGCTGTGAGCAGACTCCTCCTGCTGATAGTTTAAAAAGGATGGTCTGTGATCCCCAGCCCTTTGGAAGTGGGGCTGTGGTCCCCAGCCCCCCTGAGACCTGACCGTGTGTTCCGGTGTGCTTTTGTCTTTCAGGTCTTCGTTTGACCTTGATTATGACTTCCAGCGCGACTATTATGACAGGTATGTGGTGTCAAGTTGCTCTGCTCTGGTGGGTCAACACAGCTCTGAACTGAGATCAGAGCCATAGAAACAAACATCTTAGGGCTCCATTCACCCCCCTCCCCATCTCCAAGCCTTCAGTGGGGCCCCCAGAAAACTCCCAAAGGTTGTTGTTGCCTAATTACACAGGAAGCCTAAGATTTGTGTGTGTGTGTGTGTGAGAGAGGGAGAGAGAGAGAGATTGAGAGATTTATCAAATACATGACTGGAGAATAGAAATACTGTATTCCATTTTAATTAAAAGTGAAATTAGAGTTTATCTTAGCCCCGCAAAATTGTTTTTGCATTAATACCTTCAGGGCACCACTCAAAAGAAAGGCTAGAGGCAGTTCTTGGCCCCCAAAAATTATTGCGCTTCTGACGCAACAGCTTCTTTTCAACAGTTCTAACTAAAGAGCAGCATGATGGCCATCTCTGTTTCTGGAGATCCGATGTATAGCTCATTCTCAGAAGTGTAATTTTTGCCCGCTGAGCAATAGCAAGTGTTGTAGCCATGGTCAAAGCTGCAGAGGGGGGGGGGGAGAAGGTGGAGGCAGTGCTTCAAAGGGATGGGGACTTGGTTCATGGAATGCTCCTGGAGGGTTCCCCTAGCCCCAGGGGTAGGCAACCTTGGCTCTTTTATGACTCGTGGACTTCCACTCCCAGAATTCCGGAGCCAGCATGGCTCAGCTTGGAAACCTCTCCCTTTCCCCTCAGCGTGGCTGGCTCAGGAATTCTGGGAGTTGAAGTCCACGTGTCATAAAAGAGTCACGGTTGCCTGCCCCTAGCCTAGTGAGAATGTCTGAAACGCTGGATTTCCTGCAGATTCAGCCAAAGGAAAAAGGCTGAGAAAGAACCATAGCTTTGAGGGAGGAGATAAATTAGGAATGAAGTTCTTTTTCTGCCTGACATCTTCAGATAGGTTTGAACATCTAGAGAGATTTGTTCGGATAGATAATTCTGAGTCGGTAGATCAGACATGTCAAACACAAGGCCCGGGGGGCCGGATGCGGCCCGCGAAGTGGTTTCATGTGGCCCGCGAAGCCATCCTGGAAACAGTGAGGGAACGGCCCCCACTGCCTTGGCCCTGGCCCAGGCCGGCCGGGAGCCAATGTACAATTTTGTGGTGGCCATCTATGCTGAAACGCATTCAGTCTTAGCTCCACAAGGCCGTCTAAAAACAGCGAGGAACCAGGAGAACCTTGAGCAGCAGCCTTGAGGAAGTGGGGCTGGGCTTGGTGCCATGGGTGCTCAAGGGCCAGGCTGGGCATTTGACCTCTGCTCCCCAGGGCTCTGGGCAGCCCGTGCCACCATCCAGCCCCCCCCCCCGCATGGCCTGAGAGGAAGAGTGAGGCTCCTCCAGTGGACCATGCCTTGGCACTTGTCCCGGTCCCACCCCCTTCTGCCAGAGACCCTCAGATCTGTCCCACTCCTGCCCAGGCACCCACAGGCACCCTTGACGCGAACAATGTAGAGCTGGCCACACCCACCCAGTAGGCCACACCCACTCCATTCACGCCCACCCAGTAGGCCGCACCCACCCTGGCCACCCACCCGGCTTCCTGAGGGCAACCGCAATGCTGATGCGGCCCTCAATGAAATTGAGTTTGACACCCCTGCGGTAGACGGTCTCAATTGGCACACTTCAGTTTCGTTATGTTATAAACCACTGATGGCGAACCTTTTAGAGACCGAGTGCCCAAACTGCAACCCAAAACCCACTTATGTATTGTCGGGTGCCAGGTGGGCGTGGCCGCCGTGGTAATGGCAGACTGGGTGGGACTAAAAAGTTCAATCAATCAATTCCAACTTTGAGATTTTTTTTTCCCCGCAAGAAATTGAAATTGATTGATTGAACATTTTGGGGGGTTTTTTTGCACACGGCGCAGGCCTAAAGCGAAAAGGATTTATAAAACCCAGCTGAAGGCCTAGGACTTGGGTGATGGCGCGCGTGCCCACAGAGAGAGCTCTGTGTGCCACAGGTTCGCCACCACGGTTATAAACCATTCTCTGGAGTGCATAGCTAAATGTCTGTGGAGACTCTCAAGTCATCCAGGTCATGGATCTCCCAGAGGTGCTTTTTCAGGAGGCGACTGGACTTCGTTTGTTTTTCCTCGAAGACATTTCGCTTCTCATCCAAGCAGCTTCTTCAGCTCTCTGGGGTGTGATGGGTTTGAGACAGAGACGTTTCTTGAGGCATTGCATATACACCCCCCCCCCCCCCCCCC